TAAAAGGAGCTGAAACAGTGGTTTTCCGACTCATCCAACGAGAATCTTTCGAAGGATTGAAAGATAAAAGAATACGTGCTCTAGAACCTATCATGGACTCCAATGGCCTTATAAAAGTGAAGACACGTATCTTTCAGAGAGACGATGATGCTGACTTTCGTTACCCAGTTTTACTTCCCTCAGAACATCCATTAGTATTAAAACTGATCAAATCTGAACATGAAAGGCTAAGTCACGCTGGAGTACAATTCGTTATGTGCGCTTTGCGTGAAAAATATTGGATCATAAAGAGTAGGAAGACCGTACGCAAGGTTATCCAAAACTGTGTACGATGTCGAAGGTTCGACTCTGATTCATATAAGATTCCTCAAGCGCCACTACCTGAAGACAGAATAAGAGATGCTTTAATTTTTGAGATTATTGGTGTTGATCTGACGGGTCCCTTAATTTTAAAAGGAGGCCAAAAAACATGGATCGTCATTTTTACTTGCGCAATATATAGAGCAGTTCACTTAGAGCTAGTCTCATCTCTATCAACCGAAAGTTTCCTGCACGCGTTCAGGCGATTCATCGCTCGAAGGGGTAGACCTGTCACTGTATACTCCGACAATGGAACCAATTTTGTTGGATCAAATAATTTGTTTAAGACCATAGATTGGAATTCTATCTTAGAAAATGCAACAGTTAAGAAAATTGAATGGAAATTTATTCCCCCTTCCTCGCCATGGTGGGGAGGGTGGTGGGAAAGATTAATTGGAGTACTAAAGAGAATTCTTCGAAAGGTACTAGGAAAATCTTCTCTGAACTACGAAGAATTGTTGACAATCATTTGTGACTGCGAGAGCATTATGAACAACCGTCCTCTCACGTATTTGTCAGAAGACGTAAAGGATTTAAGAGCTCTCACCCCAGCAATGTTTCTAACAGAAATTCCAGAGACTGGAGTTCCTGAATTAGATCTTTTGGATTCTAAATCCATCAATAAAAGATACCTTTACAGAGCCAAATTGAGAAAAGATTTACGAAAAAGATTTCGATCAGAATATTTAGGGCAACTAAAACAAAGCTCAAAATTCATCCGCGAACCATCTTCTGTGAAAGTTGGTGATCTTGTAATTGTGTCCAACAACGAAAAAAGGATAAACTGGCCCTTAGCTAGAATCGTGGAAATTTTTCCATCCCACGACGGACACATTAGATTAGTGAAACTGAAAACTGCACAAGGGGAGATTATAAGACCTACTAAGAACCTCATACCTCTTGAACTCAACTTTACACCTGAGTCGGATATGCAAGTGAGGTACAGAACTCGACGTATGACGAAATCTCAAAAGACTTGAACTACAGGTCAGTTGAGGTCCATCCTCTGTTGATACTGGACCTCAAGGTGGGAGTGTCGCGTTTGCTTACTAGAACTTTACTTCCACGAACGACGCCCTCTGGCGAAAGAGACTAAAAGTAGTCAGTTGAACGGCTGACGCGTCTAACAGATGTATAACGATAGACCGTCTCCGTATAAATTATGCTTGTAATCATTATAACTTGTAAATATTTTGTAGATATCTTTCATACGAATTAAAATTTCTTAAAAAGTTTATAGCTGTGTTTCGAAGTGAATCGAAGTTCATCATAGAGACGGATACCGACAAGAAGGAAAGAAGGCAGTTCAGGGCAGCCCTATTTAGAAGGTAAGTGAACTTTCACTTATCTATTTAATGATCAAAAAATTTTAATAGTACAAAGTTGATAAAATTTTTTAACTCAAAAGCCAGCTAGAACAACATAACCCAAAATTTGTCATAAATAAATTTTCTTGGTAACTTGACAGGCTAAAATTTCAACTTATAGTGAAAAAAATATTTAAAAAAAAGAAAGGAAAAAATCTGAAAGGTTTCAGATTTTAAATTACATCCAAAGGGACGTTTTTTGACATTTTGTCTGTTACCTTTATTTATTAAATATCACGTTCTTCGCACTTAAACCATAAAATTCAGCTTAAAAGCAATATCGCAAAATAGTTTTACGTTGAGCATACCTTTAGAATTTCCGATACAGAGACTCGCGCGTTGGAGACAAAAATGTTTTTTCTGTACAACGTTGGCATTGCTCGCTTTGAAATCCTTGAGTTTTTTTAATCAAAAATGCTTTAAAGTTTTTATAAAATATGAAATCGATAATAAAACAAATTCTGGATTTCAAATCTGGGCTTCCACATGCCCATATTCACAGTAGGATTACATCATTCAAAATTCGATGGCTTTATGTACTGCTGTTTTATCCCAATGCGAGAAATATATGCACATTTATGCAGATTTTTCATTATTTTTTTTAAATATAATGCAGGACTCTCACATTTGGTGACAACAGTTTGAAAAGTGAAGCGGATATTTATAGTGATTCGATGCAAAATTGCAAAACGAAAACAATAGTCCTTCAGGGACAAAGCCCCTTTGGACTAATAAGCTTTCAAGAATAAGGATCATATATATGTAACACCATGAAAAAACATATGTAACAGCATGTTAAAGAATACTGAGCTTATCTGTTGTAAGGCTGCAATTGATCTGATCACTGAATAAAAGTCCTATAATTCTACTAGACAAATTATCAAGTTATCACTATGTCAGAAATAACATGATAGAAACTTGTGAAGGTTAGAATATCCTTTCTATTTATTCTGAACTTTTAACATAAAAGGTAGAACTTGTGCAATATATAAACCACTACTTGAGGCAATGTAAATTAGTAAATAATAGTAAACTCAATTTAAACGTTGATTAGTAGTCTAAGATTACACAGGTAATAAACTAAATCATGGGCTTGCTCAACTAATTTTACTGGCTCGTAATTTAATGCAATCGGCTAGTGAAAAATGCCAAACCCGAAATAATTGATCAAAATTCTAACAACGCTACTCGAGTTCCAGAAGCTCTGTCTCTCTCTGGATTCAAAATCCTCGGATTTTATGTACTTTAAGTTAATATGCATTATGGTGAAGAATACGGAAGGAAGAAGTCATAGTTAATATCAAAATCATAACAGCTGCCTAATTAACCTAAAATACGTTACACTGTTATAATTGTAACGTCTAGAAATATAATAAAGTTTAGAAAATTTAAAAAAATCAGTAAAGATATATTCTAGTGAAGACTATTGCATTATAAACGGATAATAGAAGGAATAGTCTCTTGAAAACAACAAAATATGGCTTTTTATCATTTATAAGAAATTATCTTAATTTTGTTACTCTTTAAAAGAAGGCCATTTTAAGGATTATACACAGAAATAAATAAATATTTTCTCCTTATTGTAATTCGAATTAGATTAGAATTATACAAATTTTCTTTGAAACATTTATTAACTTTAATCTACATGTAATTCATTTGGTAGAATAAATTCAGTCAATAGATACTTACTTTCGGTCTTAAACACGTCAGTGAAAATGATCATATTTGCATTCTTGAAATCAGCTGTGAAAAATCTGGTCTTTAATTCTATAAAATTACTATCCGAAGAAGCATAACACAGTTATGAAATTCTGTGTCTTTAATTGCAATAATTGACTACACGAAGACCACTTTAACCAATCACAGTTACTTCTGCGTATTGAGAAATCAAGGGCTTTATATAATTTTGATAACTTCTAAAAAGAAGTTCAAAAGAGAAATCTCTACTGAATAGAATTATTTCTAGAAATAAAGCAACTGAAAGAAAAGAAGATGTTGTAAACCTAAACAGTTACTTAGCTGTTAGAACTTTTAACATCCTAGGAAAAAAACAATGCCCTTGCATAAAGCAATCTAACTTCTTTTAAAAGCCTTGCTTAATAAAAAAATTGTTTTAGGATAATTCGGTTTTTAACGCCTTGTTAATCAAGCCAGGTTCTTAGCAATGTATCTGAGATACAAGAAAGCTCTCTGCAGATTTGATGCAAGAAAGCTCACTTGAGTAACGTACATACTTAATATAATGTTTATCTATATTTCATTATTTCGTTACTTTAATGCTTAATATAATTTGGAAATATTTATTGCTTAGATCAATAGAATCACTAATTTTTTTAAGGTTGCAGTGACCTGTGAAACATCTGTCTTTCCTCTTTTTTTTATGCTTATAAATGACAAAAAAGTGAAATACAGTATTATATTTTATTTGTTTTTTAATGCAAACATGAGATATACAGCAGTGACTAAAAAATGGCTGTATTTCCTGCCTCTGCATTAGGCCCTTACAGGTGCTTAACCAATAATTTTCAAACGGTTCTGTAAGCACATTTAGACGTAACTGGTATCAGTTTCAGGTGCTCAGTTTGTTTCACTCAAACGATGCTACAGAAGGCTTATATTAAATCATAAAATGCTATCTTTTTTGGGGGGGAGGTAGTAGGGTAAAAGCGTAGCTGCAGAAAGGCGCACTGATTGCTGCTGTATATCCATCTTCTACCATATGCAATTGACAGCAGGGCAAAGGTTATAGTTACTGAAGTATTGGAATTTCGTTTAAATTAGATAACATTAATGTGAACTAGTAGATCGAGGCACGGCATTTTTATGACTTTCCTCATGTGCATGATAAAAATAAAACGGATTATACCGAAGAAATTCACTTTAGATAATTAATACTACAATTAAATGCTGTGTTCTTCTCAACTGTTTTAAAATGTAGTAGTTTACTCAAAACTAATCATAAAAGAATATGAACATGAATGACAGAAACTTCAAAATTATTAAGTAGTTGTTCTCTTTTGTCTCTTTAATTCAGAATAAATCTAGTGTTTCTTTCTGCGATACTGAATAAATCCCGAAACGTAAGAATATTTCCGATATTAAAAATACGTACATTAGATAAATATATATATTTGCCCGGAGTAGCTTTTAATTTTAATAAAATTTCATATATGCTATTTTTATTATCTATGCAGAGAACTCTTCGGAAACGCGCAAATATGGCAAGACTAGCTGCCGTTTTAGATTAAGAAAACTTATCAGGCCATGGCTTACCTCGAACACTAGAAACCAAAGCACCCATCCGCAAGGATTCGCCATTTTGCAGGCTGCCTTTATACTTCGAACATATATAGGAGTCTGGCATGGCGGACGTGTTTTCCAAGATCCCTTTGTTCTGAGAGCGATTACTTGCAAAATTTCGAGGCGTTGTTTTAGACACCTGTTGCTGTTTAGTAAAAGAATCAGTCGCAGTCCTCCTCTCCCATGTTTGAATTAGAACTGCACTTCTTCCCAAGTCAGATTTTTTGAGCTTTATATTGGCCTGGATGGAGAATTGTTGGCCCTCAGAAACAGGTTTTAGTTCAGCCGACGTTCGAGGTAAGCTTGACTCTGTGTTGGAAGAAAGTGACAAATGGTGTTAAGTACTATCCAATAACAGCAAATGTATTTCCTAATTACTTTAATTCATTATTCTTATTTTGTATACTTGGCCAAATTATCAGCGAATTAAAAAAAAGTAGCAGCAAACTGAAAATTATGAAATCGATAGTTCAGTGACAAATATACCCACTTTGCTACATAAGCACCGTTAAAACATTACACCAGCTTCTTGATTCCGCCAGGAACAGATATGTTTGATTGTGCCTGAAGTAAGTACTACGTTACATATTTACTTGCGCATTTACCCTCCTCCCCTTTTTTTACTAATTTTATCGTACGAAAATCTAGATGGGAAAATTATGCGAGTAATTTAATTTCCAAAGGATGGGGGTTATGGTAACAATATAAAAAATTAATAGCATTCATGGATAAACGACCGGTAACTATGATACTATTATTTATTTAAAACAAACCCAACATTCCAAAGAGAAGACTTAATAACATTAGCATTTTAATATCTTATAAGATATCTTCATTTCCACTTCCCTATACCTGCCGCCCAGACGGGAAAGTCGTTAGTGACTCTGACTATCGTACCGAAAGTCCAGGCTTCGAATTCCGAAGAAGGCATGAATGTAAATTATCTGTTTCTTCACAGGAGATAACGGCGGCCGCTTATTAGGTGCTTCCAGCTTAAATGGTTAACGCCCGCCATTAAAAAAAAAAAAAAAATCTCGTACCTTGAATTTCGTCCGCTGTTATTGTTGCCCACAGCTACTCGCCAAGCCTCAAAATCATTCAATGCTTCTAGAACTGTGGCGTCTGTTACAACTCGCAAGTGGGTTCCCATCAACACCGTTGTTATTGTTTCCATCGCTGTTCACTTTGTCTTCCCTCGTGCATTGATTTTCAGAATTATAAAAAGCATTAGTTATTCCTGTTTTCTTGAAGCTCTTCACTATATTTACATCATACAGTAAGAGCCATGCACCGATATCCACGAATAAATCAATTAGTAAGACGAAAACAGCCACTGCATGGACGAATTTATCTTAAAATTTAGTGAAGCCTTGTTTTCGAACGTTTTGAAAAACAGGGAAGTTACGTGAATATTTAAAAAATATTAGAACCTCGCGGTAGAACGCTTGGAGGTGGAATATTTGAGTAAATGTGGTATTTGTTTGTGCAGTATATTCTTCATTAGGTAAGACTCTAAAGTCATTGTCCTCTTGAAGTATCTTTAAAATGTCTAAAGCGTATAATAAGTGTAAAAAGCAAAATCTTGGTTGTGGATGAATGCCATAAATTCTCATTGGTCCCCTACAAAGAATTGAAATTTAATCTCACTATTCAAAAATTTTAAATCAGAGCTCTACAATTTAGACCTCTCTCACTTATTATCATAATGTATTGGTCCTTTAGATTTGCTATGAAATAATTAGGCCGTTGTCAAAAAAGCAGTGCTTTTTAATTGCAAGCACAATAAAACACATTTTATTTGCTGGAATCGACAGTCGACGCAACGGTTTTGAAAATGCATTGAAGAATAATTTTCAGTTTGTTATTACTTTCTGAAACACTCATGTAGAAATTTAATTAAAAGAGAAAAACATTATTAGAAATTTTTAAAAAATGGGTGAAAAACCAAGCTTAATATTTTTTAAATCTTCGTCAACATTTTTTTTTTTTTTTTTTTTTTTTTTTTGCCTGATTTTAAAATGACGTAGAAATTGCCAAGTACTATATTTTTTTTTTTATTTACTTCAATGAGGAATGCCAAAATATTCTCAGTAAACGTTTTATGATCATATAAGGAAATATATGTATCTATGCAAAAGTGTGTGTAACTTCGTTATTTTTTGTGATAAACTTTTATTTATTTATTACATAAATTTTCAAGTCAGTCAGTTCATGTAAAAGCACAAGAGCAAAATATTTTGAAATAAATGCCAACAGTGTTTTTGCCAAAAATTGATTATACTTATACATTTAGTATTAATTGCAAATCATCCTGCTATTCAGTTATGAATAAACTTATCTTTAATCAGTTTCTACCTGAATTAATAAATGTTTAGTTCTTCTACTTCGAGTTCGGTAGACTGTCTCAAAATTTCGTATCACAAAGGTTTATCAAGGACAATATGTATAGAATTCATTAAGTTACATAGAACTCTATCATTCTGAAACACAGATCATGAACTTAACTGTTCATAGGACACTGGGCCAGTTTTCTCCTCGAAGAAAACTTAAGAATGTTATTGTCGTGACGTATTTCATTTGTCTGACAATAAGATCAAGTCTATGAATTTTATTGTGGCGAAGCGCACAGCATTGCGTCTATCAGTAGCATGAGTCTTGAGTACTCACAGATGATAGTACGACATATAGATTGTTGCCCCAGTTCCATCCCGATGGGTTCAGCTTTGAATCTCGGAGAAGGTATGGAATACTAAAGAGCCGAAAGTCCTCTCTGCAAGAGAGGTTGGATATTGGTGTTTTGATGGTAGGAAAAGAGGTAGGATACTCTTGAACCGATTCCTGGGTCCCGATACTCTATCAAAACTAGGGGAAAACTGCGGAGTTAGTGCGATGGGAATATGCCTGTACGATTAATGGTTTTATTCTGGTAACTCGCTCACTTGTATCCGTTCCTCTTGATTTAGGAACTTAATTCATTCAGTTCCAGTTAGGGATACAAATATAATATTTACATTAGCTAGATTTTATGGTTAAGTGTTACAAAATAGACAAAAGATCCAATATTTTATATAGTCCCAGAATATTTCTGTTTTATTGCAGTTGAGTACGCAGTCAACTCCGATTAACTGGGATAATAACAGAGAAAATCTTCGCTGTTCATCCCTACAGCAGTTAAAAACCCAGATGAAGGAGAAATAATGCATGTTAAAATTTTTAAAAAAAATACAGTTAGCAATTTAGATGCATTTTGAGCAGTTTAATCTGAAGAATAAATTCATTTAGTTGCATTAATTAAATCAGCATTCAAAGTTCTCTCTTTCTCTACACTTGATTGAGAAATTTATTTTTAATGGATGATTTAACAATGCTTATGTATTGCGAATTATGTGCAGTTTGCATTACATACTGTTACACATAAAAACAACTCTGTTGTCACTGCACTTAAGCCACGCATTTTTTTTCCTGTTTGCATTTTCTCTGGAAGTTCTGTTTTACACATAATTTTTTCGTCATCCCGCAATAAACAAATTTAACGTTTTTTTACACACAGAGCCTAATAAACCGTAACCTGATTAATAAACCTTCGAATAATCGAGAGATGACTGTAAATGCATCTGGCACTTTGTGAATGATAAAAATATGATATAAATAATAATTATAAAAAGTTCAAGGATTCGAGAATAGAACAGCAGAGTGTTTGTTTACAAATTCAGAGATTTTGGCTTTTGTTTTGCGATAAAAATTATGTACCATTATTAATATCATGTAAAAAATTTCTTTAAAAGTAAAGGGGGAAAATAGTGGAGTTCTTACAATTAATAATTATTGATTATTGATTTTAATAATTAATAATTCAATCCCATATAAAGTTTTCAGTAGTTGAATCAACGTAGAAGTATTTTAGCACGCATCTGAAAAGAACAGTTCCATTAAATATTTTCATTACTGAGCTTTCAGTATCACTGATTTATTTTTCGACTGTTTGAAAAGAAAGGAGGAATCATCATGAATATTAATTTTCATTCTCTAATCCAATTTAGATCTTGGCCGAGTTTCAAGATCTAGATCTCGCCTTTCATTTCTAAATTTAGCAAAAGGACTAGTTCACATTTTAAACAGTTGGTCAGTAGGTGCGGGTATAATGTATTTCATCAAGTCCAAAAGCGACAGATGGTCATGAATCCTAAACCCTGAGCGTAGGTTTGAAAAGCAATGTAACCCCTTTTTCGAACAGCATGTTTACTACCGATTTCTAGATTTCTAGTTCTTGAAAAAGCATAATAAACTGTAATAGTAGTTTCATTTCGTATGCAATTTACACGTTTTCATTCATTGAATTATTGTTTTGTAAATATGTAATTCTTTCTTCGCAAATTTGCCGCTTCGACCAACAGTCACAGAATTATTTGGAAGAAAATCAGCCATATATTTTAAACTAGGTTTCTTCACTTGGCAACTGAAATTTAAAAAAAGATAAAAATACAGTACTATTATACAGAAACAACCTTCTTCAAAGCATATTTCTGACTTCAATTCCTTTTGTACAATGAGAAAAATTTGGCAAAAATTATTAGATTTCATTTTGCATTTTAAGATAATTTACATAGCACATTAATAATAAATTGAATATATCCGGTCTGATGTTGTTTGTGATTTTCGTTTCCTTAAGGATAAGGGAAGATTTATTTCTGTAGTACAACAAACCCCTAAACGTTTTAGCTTATTAATTACATGATTTCGTCTGCTCTATTTGGGTCACATTTTTATAATTTATGGAGAAATCACATTATTATGAGCTTAGGTTTTCTTTCTTTCAGCGTTATTCTAAATTTAATTTCAAAGAATAACTCTTCTTTATCATACCTTTCCTCTCATGCGATCTGTGCGTTTTTTCCTATACATCTAGATGAAGCCTATTGACGAAGCAATTTCTTCCTAAATGGAATTACTGAAGAAATTATAATTTCTAAGGTAAGATTTATGATTAGTCTTTTAAATTTTCATTTCCCTCTAGTTTCTTTTTGGTCTAAAAATTTATTATCAACGTAAGAAATTTAGCTTGATTCAGCCAATGCATCATTGCTTATGTTTCGAATGAATGAAAATTATTTTATGTACTGCGTTGATATTTTTTATAGAACTATATATTTTCCATACATTAGATTGGAAAACACTAAATAATTCCTTTTGAGCTACATTACAAATGTAATCCTGTAATCATCCGATGCAAATTCATCGAGATTATATTATACTAAAAACGAAATGCCGGCCTGTTGCCCCCGCTATTTCGCGATTTTATCTTCTTTTTGTTTAGGATAGAATATATTTTAGACACATAGCATTGCGTTGTTTTGCAGTTTTTATCGCTGCAAGTGCTCTACGTTTGTCTAGCGTCCCTATAAAGGTCTGGACTTAAACTCGTGGCTTCATGGCCGACAGAAACACAGTTCATCTGTATTACTAAAACCAGTGACCGGTTCTTTTATAATTTCCAATTTGAATTTTCTGTATTAGGTTTCCCTTGGTGAAATGCTGTTAAGCTGTGATTTCTAAAGTGATGTTTCTTACGAAATTAAATCTCTGCTATTATATAAACTACGCTGTAATTTAACACGTTTTCTTGATGCTATTACCTAAAATAGGTATATTTAACATGAAATAATAGTGGAAATGTTATTTAAATCTTTTTTATAGTCTAAAAATATGCAATATTTGTTTCTGATTTTGGGAATCATAAATTCCCCACTAAAAAACACTTCCCGAAATGTTGCTTTGAATTAAAATAAAGTTACATCTGATACGTTATAGGCAATATCTCTTCTGAAATGACTTTTAATAAAAGATAAAATCATTTTGCTAAATTGCCCTCACCGTTGACAAGCTTGCTTAATTTACGAATGTCAATAGCTGAACGTTCACATTAATAAACGTTCACATCAATAAAAACTCTTGAAATTTATAAATGACATTGAAATATTATAAGTATTTAATGAGGAAGAAAGAAAGAGCTGAAAATATCTCCTACTTGAGAAATAAATTAAAAGAAATTTGGAAAGAAATATATTATTGGAACTGCAAGAAATATTGAAAAATGCAGATATAATTATATTATATATATGGTAGTATTTATTCAAGAAAGAATCGCTAACTAAAGGCCCGGCACTAAAAAAGATCAAGATCAGGAAGTTGTTTACAACAGGAAGATGGTACCAGACTGCTAATGAAGAGTTGCTGACTAAATTTGAGGTCATCTACTTTCTTTGTTATTGCACGAAGCTTTAGACTTTTGGTTCATTAAATAACAGAAGTTATACATTATTTTACCGTTATGTAACTTCTGAAATTTGCCACATTACAACTATAATTTTCTGCTTTTATATTGCTATTTTCATAGCAGTTGTTTACTAGAAATTTCGATAAATTGGTCAAAGAATGAACACAAGATTAATTATCATTTGGATCATATGAGAATTCATATATTTAGGTATCCTATATAATTGTGGTCCTTATACGCGATCCCGCCACACGCAGTTCTGAGATAATATTGGTGAATCATTTAAATTTAAAGCAACGTGTATTTTAGATTTTTTGTGTTTTTTTATATTCATACTAATTTCTTATTTGAAGCTTTTGACTTTATTTACTGCAATAGTAACAGGATTTTAAGTCAAAGCATGAAGCATCTAAAAATTGAATGCCACTATAAATTGTCATATAAGATGCTTTATTTATTTCACCTTATGATTAAAAATATTTTCCTACTTCAGAATCAAAATTTCAATCTGAATTAAGAATGAGAACTGTTTATTAAATAAATAAAACTATAATTTGTTCTTAACTTCAAAAAATTTGGTGTTTCAATAAATTTTAGAAAGGCACTCTATAAAAATAGGCAGCTCTGTTTGCCTTGCCCTTGAAGTGACAGACTGCCTTCTTTGGCATCGCTTTTTTTACAGCCGTTGAAATATGATTTGTCTGCAAACATACCAAATGCTAATAGGAAGTTATTAATATTATGATTCGAAATCAAGTTGTCTTCTTAGCAGACGTAAACACTAGCTCTGCACCTTTAAAGTGGGCAACTGGATTTAGGTAAGCGAAGTCGAATATCGCGGAACACTATTTTTGTAATGTGTATATGTAAGCTACTAAGTTCAAAAATATTAAAAGTGCAGAAATAAGCTAGAAGCATTAAAGAAGAACAATAATACCGTAAAGTTTCTTTTTGTTCGAGGTTAAATGGGTAGTTTGGAAAAGAACGTATTGGTACTCTGGCCAAACTGGCAACAATGGCTGAAGTTGGTCATTACTCCATTACAGTGGAAAAAGGAGTGGGCTATGGTGATCCTTGATAGTTGGAATCGTGGCTTTCTTAAACTTCACAGAAATAGTTATAGTGCCTATAGATTAAATAGTTTTTTTCATCGGTGTTATGTCGGATGAAAAATAACCATTTTAGAACTAATTTTAAATTTACACTATACTTTACAAATTACAGAAGTTTCAAAAGCTACTTCATCAGATTCGGACTGCCCCCTTTCTGAAATGTGTGGATTGATGGAGGTATGCAGAATAATGAACATTTATTAGTAAACAGTAACTCAAATGAGATGCAGAGAAATATATTTGGAATTAATTTGTAAGTTATAAAGGCCACAGAAATTATATGACCTTATTAACTGCAAGGTGCATTCTTAATATATAAAACCGCCGATAATATTTAATATTTACGCCTTCCTTTGAGATACTTTTTCCTTTCTTGTAACTTATTTAATAACATTTGAATTTCTTTCTTGCATTTATTTAACTTCGGTTATTTTGCTTTTATTAGTTTGGAATATAAGGTTAGTATTTGAAACTAACCATTAATTTGTAATTTTAGTATTTATTATAATTTCTCCTTTCCGTTTTCTCTATAGAATGCAAAACAGTCAGATAGCATTTAAAATGAAGTTTTGGGATTGCAAGACAGAGCAGCTTCTTTCTGCTTTGCGGGCACGTTACATTACTTTTGCCAGCTCTGATAACTTGTATTTATTCTGCTTTGCGTTATTGTTGCTAGCATTTTTCTGATACCCTAATTAGAAATTCTGAGCTAGTTTTGATTTAAATTTAATTTTGTAATCTTTGACTACCTGCGTACTTTTTCAATTGAAATTTACTGTTCCTTTAGTTGAGTTGTTAGCCCAAAAACATGCCCTGATATTCTAATTTCTGTTTAATAAAAAATTACGAAAACCTTTTTATGGTTTTTAGTTAGACAAAGCAATACTTTGCTTCTTGTCTGACAGGGTTAATATTTCCTGATCAGGCACAACTCTAAGAATTTATAGTATACGGAAATTTCTTTTATGTTTTTGATTCTATAGATCATTATAACTTATATCATTGTAATTTGCGAATAGTAAAGATGCTTCGTTTTGTTATCTTTCGTATACGCGTAAAAATGAACTCCAGAAATTTGTTAATATCGTTTAAGTTTACTTTATGCCTAACTTTATGTTTTTACATTTGTGTAAACTTGTCGTATTTGTACCAAGTTCAAGCTTACATATTTTTATAACTGAGATTTATTCGTCTTTTCGAGCTTCGGTAATAAATTGTGCAGCACTTAAAGAAAATTAATGTTAAAAGTTTTATCAAAATGCAATCTCCGCAGAGGTTCCTCTGCCATCGCTCCTTTTCTGTTTTTTTAATAAAAGATTAGTTTGCCAAATAAAAACTATTTCCTTCTAGCGCTATTTCAAAGGAACTGATTTTCGAGTCTAAGATTTCCGTTCCTCGAAAAATGCAATCGTTTCGTAAATTTTCGATACAGAAAAAGGTTTCCAATCAGCACCTTCCATGAGCACTGCTGACGAGCGAATGAGATATGACTGAAGAGTAACTTCGTATAGGCTTTACTTTGAAATCTGAATACTAAATCTAAAATGTCATAAAATATTTTATGAGCTCGTTTATTAAGTATGTATACAAAGAAAGCTACCGGACATTAAAATAGACATTAAAATGTTTCACATGGCACAAGGTTATTTCGAATCGCCAGGTAAATGAAGAAGATAAACCAAACTCTTAAAAGAATCTTGAAAGCAAAAGAAGAGAAAAATTTAAAAAAACGATGATACTATCTTGAAGTGATTCAAAGACTATGGAGAAGATTTATGATGCTCGAGTAAATACTGAAAACAGGCTCATCGCAGTGCTACGGCCTGTTGCATATCCATAAACAGTGTGTCCTTGTTACTGAATTGTTGGCCAAAAAAATTATTCTAGTGGCTCCAAGTTCCCCTCTTGTTTGTTGATCCCAAATCAATCACGATCCCAACCTGATCGATATCGTAGTAATTTTTTTCTTTTCTTTAGTACGAAAGGCCATCAGTGTCAGTTGTAAACAACACCAAAAGGCTATGATGAAACATTTGGTAGTAACCACATTAGTAGACTTTCAATACTGCTACAAAAAAATGGGAGCTGTGTCTTGAATAGTGCGTTCACATCATCTCCTTTTACCAGGAAACCTGCTAATGTGGATTTTTAAATGTGCAAATTCAAATCTTATAAGCAACCGTTTCGTTATTTTTCTGCCTTATTTCTCATGATACTTGCTGTGAGGAAGCACAGCATTAACATTTACTTTTATATCAATTTACATACTGAAAATACTTTTCAGTAAAGGAACTGTATTTAAAAATCTGTAAGAAACTGTCTTACCTGTAGACTGAAACTGTGTAGAAGAAATAGTTTTGCATTTGTGTTGAGAACAACTTTTCTTGCCAACGTCACCATTCACAAGAGCTTTCTTGGAGACAGAAACGGGAGTAGAAGCTGCTGGTTGATGTTGGCCGTTTTGGGAAGGTGAGAGGATGAGCTTGATATTAGCACGGGAAGGTTTTCTTCGTCGACCCAAAGAGCCTTTGTTAACGAGCTCCAATCGTTCTTTTTGAAAACTGTTGTCCAAGGGGGCCTGAAACACAGTCAGTAAAGCTTAAATGGAAAAAAATTGGATTGTGACATTTTCACCAAATCAAGTAGCTACCCCAATATTTGAGTTTTGAAATTTAAAAAAAGCATTACAATTCCAATACAGAGTATTTTGAAGCTCAACATTCATTGTTAAAGAGTGTGCTCAATAAAAACCAGCAAATCATACGTATGCAATCATATTAAATTTATATTAAATTATTCCTATATTTTATTTTCTTACGCAGTGATTTTTTCCGCCCCATGTAGTGGCGCAAGGCTAATAGCTATGGAATAAAGCGGCCGGGCATTAAAAATATATTCTTGAAATTATGCTTGAAAATAATAATCATTATGAAAAAGATTTCAGGTTAGGAAGCAATTAAATGTACTGGCCTCAATTCTGTGTTCGTTTCATTTTTGTGTCAAATCATTTTTGAATAAAAGGATATGCTGCCCCGAAATGTTTTCATTATGCAGTACTTTTAAAGAAGTAACATAGAAGATATAAATAATATAGTGACTATTAAAAATAATTCATCACTTAATTAGAATTTCAAAAGATATGTTGTTTGTAAAGGTTTTGTCATTTTGTTGACTTTTAGGTAGCGTAAGTGCGAAGAAAGTGATGTAAATAAAGCTAAAATGATAAATAAAAAAGTTGATCATATTATTAAGAAATCTGAACACTAATATCATAAACTGAGAAAAGACTGAAAAGTAAATGTATGGCAACATTTGACGCACTCTCATGAATTCTAAAGACATGCTACTGTTAAAAATTTTGTGATTGTTAAGTCACTGACCTGTCAATCAGAAATACTATAAAAACTATAATACGATCGATGCGATAACTCAAATCAAAGCAAGAGAATAGGCGTGTACATGAGCAAATAAAATTATCATTTTCTGTTTTTTGGGAGAATGGAATAATAAAAATTAGTGTGTATCATTAACGTTGAGTCATAAAATTCACAAATTAAATTTCATTTACAAATGAACAGTTTACGTAAAGCTATGACGGGTGGTCATATGCTGGCCGCATCACATTTTTTAAACCTAAGTTTATTCATTTTATCTTTAGATATTGTTCGATTCTATGCAGAATTCAGAGTAAATATGCTTTGTTATTAATGATAATGTAATGAATGATTAACTAATAAGTGTAAATTGTAATAGCTGTCATATACTCGTCATAATAGAACAAGTAAATGAAATAATAATCTAAAATATTTAAAATAATTCCAGTTTGCAGCCTTCTAATGGAATGCTACTGGATTGGATGGTTATACTTTCCAAAAGTTAAGCACGCAATAGAAATGAGCGGTTTTCGAAAGTGGATTTCAATTTATGTGGCTGAAAAATCACTGCGGATGCAGGCGGTACGTATCTTACAGGCAGTCACAGTTGATTGTCCGAACTTATACTAATCAGGCAATTGCTGAAGACGCCAGCATTCTGAAGGATTTGAGGAGGTTCATTTAAATTCTGACATGAAGTGTTTATAATTTTGATAGAATAATTTTTTATGATAATCGTGTTTTTATGACTAAAAGAAGACGAATGGCAAATAGTGAACTCTGGGGTGCATCCGAACATATTGAAGCAGCACGGTTAATTAAACAAGTCGATCTGTTGTTGATCATTTGGTAAGTTCTCGAATGTGGAAACAATGCCAGAAATACCAAACAGCTATCCGGAGACCTGTGCCCAGCCGACCAAAGGTTACCAACCCTTTTAAAAAACGGCATATTGCTATAGTAGCCAAGTGGACGACGGACCTCCACAACTGTTACATCCATGGTTGCAACGTCATTTTATGAGACAAAATTTGCTATCACGCTGCTCCGAAGGCTTCACATGAAAAGACTGCATGCTCGAGTATCACACGTTTGTGTTCCTTAACCGTCCAATCCAGAAAGGCAAGATGTCTTCAGCATTTCAGTTGGACTGTCTAAGATTGGTGCAAAGTTCCCGTTCTTGAACGAATTAAGATTGAGTTATACATTAGCTGAAATTTCACTGAGAAATCGCATCCAGCTGCTCTTCTTTAGAGACGGTTCTGTGACTGCCGCGCGGTGTCGGGAAGAAGTCCTACATCCCATGATCAGATTCTAAGCTGAAGCAGCTGGTTCTGATTTTCTCCTTACGGTTGGATAATACCAATCGCCATTGAACCAGTATCACACCTAGAATGTAAGTACTATTTTGTATGGAGAGGCCGCTGTATTCCTCGGCCTTAATTTTGTTGAGTCTTTGGGATGCTCTCGGATGTGCTGTCTTTGCACGTTTACCTGATCTAGCCATCTCAGACAATTGGAAATTGCATTGTTGGAGGAATGGCCATTGCTAGCTCCTATGATGGTTTGTCACGTTACTGAAAGCATATACGTAATCGATGTTAAGTTTGTATGATGGTCCGGGGTGGTCACATACCATGTTAATACCATGCACTTTATGAGTTAACTTTTTTAGCTTTAAACATCAGTTGTTAATTGCCAAATGTAACATTATCATATGGATTTAAGGAAATTAAATATTGTTTTCATCTTTGTAGATAATGGGTTTTTGCTTTTTTTTTTTTTTTTTTTTTTTTTTTTTTTCATGCATAAACCAGTTTGTTACCTTCATGTTCAGTCTGACTTTATGATAATTTTATTTTTTCTATTTTACTTAAACGTCGCTTTTGGAAACCAGTATGGATTCCGACAAACTGCACGAATTCTATCTAATTAAGGAGAATAATTCTTTTGTGAAGGATTTCTTAAAGAAAACTGACTTTTATTCACGTTTCACTAGGCGAAAACCACGAAAACTCTTATTTAGCCAGACCATTCACTCTGAGCACTCGCGTAAAATACCAATCATGGGTATTTTACCACTCAGGCGATTTATGAGCGAAATGTCCTTCGAACTCAGTGAAACAATTTATCAGTTCAGAGATGTGCATAAAATCAAATACAGTTACATTATTTAAATTATGAATAAATCTTTTCTTTCAAAACTTGTCTAGATAATCTAGAAATTAGCGTAAATATATATAAACGTGAAAAACCTCTCATGTTTGAAATATCTAAGATTTCATTTATTTTTTTTAAATTCAAGGCATCTGATAGATATCAAATAATGCTCGAGATATTTTAAGTGCAAACTTTGCAACTATTGAGAACTTGACGCTGTTTCGGAAACAATAAAAGATAAAAAAAATATTCGAATGAACTGGAATTTATATGCTATTCATTTCAAAAGATTTATGAGTAGATATTTACTAAATGAAATACTCTACTCACCTCGCATACCACGAGATCCATCATTTTCTACCAAATCCTAAATAAAGAAAATAATTTACATGTAAAATGCATTTTTAAAAAGTATACAATTATCATTTCCAACATTCTGACAACCATAACACAATTTATTTGCAAATAGAAAATGAAATTTTATCTGTTTCAAAATTAGAAATATTACCGAATGCTACGTATATATAAATCGCGGGTGAACCGCTGATTTATTATTACTACCCACATTTTGTATAAAAATTAATCACGATTAATATTCACAAAATTTAACTCAATCAAACATTCATGGGTTAACCAGTGTAGGAATGAAAAGATAAGATAGGAGGCAATAATGCATAACTACACTAATAATAATAATAAAACTGCACTTCCGTTGTTGTGTACTTGTCGCAAAATAAAGGCTTCTAAAAACGGGGATAAAGAAATATTTAGATCGTAAAATTATAAAATGCGTTTAATGAATAAGCGATACAGTATTAAAATACTGTTAATCAAACAGCACATGCTACCCTGCATGCGTACTTCAAAATTTACGTACCTTTACAGTAGTCATATTAAAAGTAAATTACACATTACATGCAAGATTACTGAAAATGCTAAGGCAACCAAGAGCCGATAATTCTTAGGGCTTTAACGTCTTACATAATCTTCATGCGGCGTGATATTTTTACTTTTACTCAAAAAGGAAATTCAGAGAGTTAAAAAGAAGAAAGAAAGAAATTCGGAAAGGAATCTGATTTTAACATCGCACCAAATGATTTATTAATTTCGTTTTGCTATTGCTGAACATCGAGGTTGTTTGGATTCAATCATCACCGCTAACACATTTTTTTTCTTTTTAATTTTATTATTAAGCATCACTTTTTTCTCACTTGCGCCATATAAAATTCAAGAACAAAATCACAAAATATTTAAAAATAGCATATCATTAGAATTCCCGATACAGTGAAAGGTTTGCCATACGTTTTTATACGTTATATTATTTCTTTGAAAACTAGCTACCTAAAAGTTATCGCAAGAAAGAAAACGTCAATGATTTCTATAAGTGCAGCTAGTGTCATTTCATAAAAATATTTAATATTTCTAAATTAGACATCTCATTATTTAAATACATTTTTATTTCAATCAATCAGATTTAAAATTAGAAAAATTACTTTTAAGAATACGTTTATTGCTTTTCAGTCATTTCGTTTACTACTCAGTAAAAGGAAGATTAAATCTGAAAATTAAATATCTTACTTTAATTTTTACTGAATGGCAACACGCTGATTCGTAAAACGTCTTTACTGAATGGCAACAGGCTGACTTGTGCAGATAATAAGTATTCAGTTTGAAACAGGGACAACACATTGCTTTCAAATAACCAAATTTCCAGATTAAAATTGAAAGACTGACCTTAAAATTTTGCCGAATATCAGCAGACTGGAGTACTGGATATAAAAATATTTTATTTCGAACAGTGCTGCCACTTCTGGCTTTCAAATATCTGAGAAGGAAAAAAAATCGTAATTTTGTACAAGATATGAAGTAAACCAAAAATAAATTTGAAATTTAAAATTTGAGCTTCAAGATGCCCGTGTTCAAATGGAGGACTACATGTTCTAAAAATTCAACTGCTCTAAGTGCCGTCATTTGTCCTTAGTGTGAGGAACATACAAAATTTTATTTAATTTTTTTAATAGTACATCACGATAACATTTAGTGGCAACAGGTTTTAAAGTAATTCGGAAACAAAAGTGATAGCGACAAAAAGTGGATTTCGAGACCAACAGTCCGTCTAGTGCTAAAAGAAGAAATTGTTCCTGTGTATCATTATTATTTTTTATTATTAATTTCCGTAACTATTTTATAAAATAACCCACTGAAAAAAAGACCATTTGTCTTTATTCAAATATTAATCACAGTTCTTGTAGATCAGCGCTTAAAAATAAATGTTTCCCCATAAATAATATATTTCTTTTACAAAACAATATACATATAAGAAGTAATGTTAGGATTTGTTTCAGGTAAATAAAAATTAATGAAAGGAAATCATGTTTTAATGAGACGGATGTGGTTTTTTTGCTCCGTATCTAATTAAATTTTGATACAATATTAGACACTGTTGTCGTAAATAATCTTCAGGGTTTCTCAAAGTTGAGCAATATTCGGATTTAATCAGCTCTAAGCTGTAAAAGGGATTTCACGTAAGTATGTAGTGCTGAACAGCAGAACAACATTGAATTCAGAAATAGGGGGAAATTCAATGTTGGCTGCGATCCATAATTCAGTCAAAATTTTTGTGAAAACTCAAGTTTTAATCTTAACTTATTCGATAGCTCAACAAGTTCTCTTGGGCTTTATATAGAAGGTCATTTACCCTCATTAATATGAATCAAAAATGGTTTTTGAATCCGAGATAACGTTTTGAACTCAAAACTTGCTGTAAAGTATTTGCAAAACTGTTCTGAAATTTTCACGTGATCTATAATTATATCTGTAATTTAAGTTTTATAGTCATTTTTTTTCAATTGTAAAACTGTCGAAAGTCAAACGACTAGGCACTATATTAGATTCTTATTTCACCTTAGATTTGTCTTTTTTTAGCTCTAACATGACAGATTATTTCCTAAAATTTGAAGATTTTACACCATTCTTATAAAATTATTTTAGGCCTAACAAGGTAATGAGCCGTCATCTTCTCGTGACATTTTCAATAGGCCCATAAAGAAAAATCATAAAAAAGGACATTTCGTAGATATTTTCGCGGACATTCTGTAAAAATACGGATAAAATCATGAAGATAAGTCCATGAGCTAAATGGAATAACATTTATCACGATTTCTTCTGCAACAGATATTTTATAAATTGGTCAGAGAACTTGATAATGGCTAGAAATCTTATTTTAGTAAATATTTATTTTAGTTAGTCCAGACATCATTACATAAAGCGATGAATTTCACGACGTTCGTGCTGGCATGCACTATCTCAAAAGATATTAGTTTAAAAATAGGAAAAACTCTTGCTTATTTCTGGCGTCACGTTTCAGAATGGATTTTTGTCTTTATATCCAATATACACTATTATTAACTCTCCTGTAAAAATTTCATATTCTTGTAAGAGCGACTTTTGAAACTCTTCCTGAGTACTTAGGTATCCACTTGACATTAATTTTAAATGAAATATTACCACAGCAACATTTTTTTACTCTGCCATTTAGTAGTTAGGTTTGCTATTTAGTAGAGTTCATTTGAAATATAAGATTTTTACATTGCATATCCTTAATTTCTAGGGTGGGAATAATTTCTAAACGAGTAACTGCTTAAAACTGGTTCAGAATTTGAACTGAAATTTACATACCAATATCAGATTACATTTTCTGTTTAATCGTCTCATTCTTATATTTAAACTTCTCTCTATCATCTGAACCTTTAACGATAGATATTATCAAGTTGCTGGACTTGTAAATTTAAATTGGAACTCAAAAACGCAACTCAACTTGCAAAGTACTTACATCTTATTAGAGATGACACATTTTTACTAATAAAAGTCTGGCATTGGTTAAAATAAATTACTAATTATATTAATTAATATTATAACTAAAAATTAAATAATCACTTAAATTTATAATTAAACTTTTATATTTTAATTTTATTTTTATATTTAGTGAAATTTAATGACAACAGCAATAAATCCCCCCACACTTACAGTACGGTCAGACTGGCTTTGGGAATACAGAAACATAGAGCTTATTACGATTCTCAAATGATAAAGAATATTCATAATTATAATTTAGGTTTTTTTCACTTTGGATACAGATGACAGAAAAACAAACAGTGAACGGAAGTACGCAAAATCAGGCCAATTCCGTAGCTGGTCTTTTTGGCATTCGCTGCAGTCTCTGTTTATCCTAGATTCTGCTGGTTAGTGATTCCAAAATTTTACTGTCCATGAATTCAGCCTATTTATGCGGCCATGTTAGCGCAGTACATATTTGCAGTCCTATGTAAGACGTGTTTTACTAGTTACTTCAATGTTATAAACACTTTTCTTTTGAAAAATATTAATAAAATACAAATCTGTTTTTAAATAATTCTCTTTTGTTACACTAATAAGCACTACATATTGATGATATGGGAGATAAAGGAAAGATAAAATTCCGCGCGTAATCACAACAGCATCGTTTTGGTACTTTGATTGGATGTTCAGGCTTGCAATTGATTTAAATGTAATAACATATGAAAGAGTTTCTGATGTGTTAAAAAATTACCATGGAAATACCCATTATGCCAAATTGAAAATGGCTGAATGAAGAACTTTTTCAAAATCTCTTCCATCACGGCGATTGCGTGAACAGCAAAAAAGATGACAGGTAGAAACTCGTCAGAAGTTAAATATTAGGTAACAGGTACTTGTTTTCATTTTTTTAGAACTTTTCATCAAAATAGAAAAATCCTCTCAACGAACAATTTACTGACTAATCTTAATGAAGGCCGGAAACTCGTTTGTTCACTTCCGGTAGAACCGACGAACCGTGCACATCCTGCAGCAGCGTGGTACACCACATACTTGACATCCCGCCCCTTAGCTTCCGTATCAAAAATGATTCCTACTCTCCCCCCAGTCACTCCAATGTTCGTTAGTTTTCGAAAAGCCTCTTTTTGTTGAGATCTGATTGAAAAGTCGGCGGCTACAGCGGCGGATTGAGGCCAGATCGGTACGTGATGGAAAAGAATTTGGACCAGATGGACATCTAGCGATCGCAATTACGGCTAGGGGGAAAATTTCGAAATTTCCCCTCCCCCTCGTTGTACGTTATGACTGGCAAGCTACGCTGCTTATTATTTGCAAATATTATTTACCACTGCTTCCTAAATAAAAGTGGCGTCAATTAGCTTTGCAAAGCTAACTTCCTAAGCGAATGTTGAAGTCAATTTTTGTGCAGCGCCATATGTTAATCTGGAACTCTTTGTAAAGCGGCATTTGTTAATTAATTAATTTATGTATTTTCATACCGCATCGCAATTTTATTAATCAATTTTTATTTGGTATGTTATTTATGTAAAGTGTATTCTAGTAAATATGCCTGTATTTCTTGTGCAAGCGATATTTAATTAAATTAAGACCATTGACATTCCGCTAGTACATTCAAAGCAATGATATTTTATTCGCAAATAGTTTTCTTGAATAAACCAAACTTCCTCCCCATTTTTAGCATCAAATGTCAATAAACGAATTGCTATGCTGCATCTTCAACTCTCTACTGGTGCAAATTTCTTCGATTATTCAAAAACACCTTATACTCAAAATCTTTATATAAAAAAGTTTGTGCTGTTTTGCGCGTAACATCTCGCAGTCTTGGCTTTTACTTTAAATATACCTAAGTTATTACTCATATGCATAATTTAATACAGCATAAATTATGAAGACTTGCATGATAGATATCACGGTATGTTGTTTAAGAAATAACAAAAATATGTACAGGCCAGATGTATGAATGGCAGAAACGATTATCATATGTTGATCTCAAGTGATTCTTAGACGTCTGAAACTTCATCGTGTAAATGTGAAAATACGTATCGATATACGAAAATCTCTCAACAAGTTATTGCAAGAAAACAGAGATATCACACTTTTAAATTCCATTCCCTGGGGTAGTTCTCATGCGACATGTCTTTAATTAAATAATTCAGTTCAATTGTTTTAATTTCCCTACTTATACAGTACTAATAATTTGTAGCATCATATAACTTGCAATTTCAGATACGATTTTACATCCGGCCAGTTTACTTCTGGTTTCAGCAGGTCGCCATTGTAGATAATACTACATTTTTTTTTATAATACTGGGTTGTCTTAAGACGCATTTTTTCTACATTCTTCAAGGGGCCTTTATTTATATAAAGAGCAATGATCAGTCAATAGGGTATTGCCCGTTTTGTTCGATAATTTTTTTTGTTTTCTTTTAATGAGTTTCATAACTCGTCATTCACAAAAGAACCTAGGTTTTTCAGCGAAAAACTTAAAAAGATGCTGATTTACGGCCTCATCTGAATTGACTGTTATACCACGAAAGAAATTTTGAAGAGATCGAAACAAGTGAAAGTCTGAGGGCACAAGATCTCGCGTAATCGGGATGGAATGCAATTCCAGTACGATAAATCAGCTCTGAAAGTTTCTGGAAGATGGATTAGTTAAAGTTTCCAGTTGGCGACAGCACACAATCGAAGTAATTTGTTGGCTCAATGGTAGAGCTTGGAAACAAGACAACACACAAGTTTGATCCATGACCAAAATTACTGGAATTTGGATGAAAAGTGTTACCACGCGTAGCATATTCAAAATTTCTCTCGTGGTATATCGTTCAATTCAAAGAGACTGTAAAGCATCTTGTTCAGCTTTTCACCGATAAAGCTAGGTTCTTTTGCGAATGAGGAATTACAAAGCTCATTAAAAGAAAAACTTTCGGGTAGCAAGAAGATAAAACGGAATATATAATATTGGCTATTCATTGTTCTTTATATAAATAAAGA